ATATATATATCAGATTATAGATTAAATATTCTGATTCAATACCTCTTCGATTGGTGTTGTCTCCAAACATTCATGAACTTGATCGAAATAGCCGTACTGATTAATTTTTGCAATTATCTCTTATTTATTATAAGTAATGCCAACACGATTGCACTTGCGTAACACGCACCTAATTACGCGAAGATTCCGGAGACGCTAGATTGTGGGCGTCTCTTGTTCTTTGAAAGTACCCTGGACTTTCCCAAATCGTCGAGCGCTTTGAAAGCACCGTGAACTGCGTGAACTCGTGGATGCCACGACCGGCAAAAATGGCGATTCGATTATTCGTTGTTTGCGCATCTTGCTGAATCATTGAGCTGCGCCTGCGCACGCACTCCCGATATTGCCTGGCCCGGCCGCCATATTGTTTCCTATTACCTAATACTAGCTTCACCCCCATGGCGCTCTGCCCTCTGAAACGGCGTAAGAAACAGAGAGAGCTAATGTGAGCCATTCTGTCCTTCATCGCGCATGCGCATTCGACCGACGTACATTCAGAATCAAAAGTATTGTTGATCCAAAGCGTCAGAAGTGAATCGGTTAGTTCAATGGTTTGGTTAATAAAATGTATTTGCATTTTTTACGAAATAAATAGAAAAATGGTCCACAAATGTTGTGTTAAAGCATGTAAATCTATTCACAGTGCGCAGACGCATGGAAAGCACTCTTGACTCAGACTGTACCGACAAGGACAAAGGAGCTCACATTTACTCTCTCTGTCGGTTCAGGCGAATGGCCTCAGAGCGCTTTCCAGTAGTATAGTTCAGTGCCGTCTTCCACGGACCTCTCATTATTGTCGACCACATTTGATACACTACTTAGATACGAATCGCGCATTCCATTCTCTATGTTTTGATACTGCTGACATTTAATAGTGTTACTACCGACATTGGTAGTATTACTACTGATACACTATAGTATTACTGCTAAGTGCTAAACCAGTAGTGGCCTAGTTTACACCCTACGTTTAGGCCGCCACTTATACTCTAAATCTAACCTAAACACGACAGGTCGCAACGGTGTAAATACTTATAACCTCGCTTAGGTGAGGGATCTTTTTCAAGATCCCTGACCTCTCTTAAGGTATATCCACACAAACTTGCATAGCCGCATAAACGTATGCATAAAGAAAATTATCCAATCACATTTTATGTACGTCTTTAAAAGAGAACTGCAATTGGATAATTTTCTTTATGTATATGTTTATGCGGCTATGCAAGTTTGTGTGGATATACTCTTAAGCGGGGAGCACAGACTCTTGCATAACACATAACACACGAGGCATAAGAAATTGAACCAA